GTTTGCTATGCTACCTACTGTGTATGCTAGTAACTCCGTCAAACTTTTCCTCGAAGCCTTACGACTGCCCGTTGTTGAGACCACAGCTTGTCATCGGGCCAAGAGTTAATGGAATGTGTCAAGTAAGTAATAAGTTCAGGGACAATATAGTCCCGGCGAGCTCCGCGCGCCTCCTCATTCCACTGGAATGTAAATCTTGCTCCCGGCTCCCGGGACCAGTTAAAATGTGGATGAGGATCAAGTCCGTCCTGTGCATCATTGCTCCTGTGTGACCCAGCCATCCAGCCGTTCTTTCAGCCTCTCAAAGACGGAACTGAGCACTCAGACACGATGACCTACATCGACACATGTTGGTATTATGTAGGCCATCTTGCTGTAAGAGATTAACTAACACCCCTTAAAAAAGGCTGGCAATATCGGAAAAATAAATTTGGACTTCTCAAGTCCTCAAATATCCTTCCACTCAGGTACCTATGTTTCTCAACTCCAACAACGGTCGACTGAATGACAATCTCCCGTAATGTTAGCCCCGAGTTAGATTGCCAACAATGACCACACAGCATTCGCTAGTCAGCTGCGGTGCGTGCAAGGTCATATATACCAGGCTACGCTGTATTGAAGGCATCATACCTACAGACACGCTGGTTCAGAACGCTAGGTACTGTTGGACCAACCTGATTCAGTTGGAAACAGTTTCTCAGGGAAACGAAGGCTGGAGAAATCTTGTATTAGGTTGGCTCCAACAGAAATTTGTCATCCTCACCCCGCTGTGGTAGTTGGGAAGAGACTCTATACTGGAAACCGTGATGTAGATCGTCGAGGTTGGCGATTAGGTATGCAGAGAGCCAGTCACCTTGTGGTTGCGAGGGATGTTCTCTCTGGGGAGGTTTGCGCGACGAAGCACTGACGGCGACAACCAGGGCAGCTCCTTTACCGGTTTCCTTCAGCTTTTTGCTGTTCGAATCTTTCCAGTCGCTAAGTAACTAGAGAGTTGACTACCTGAGTTTCCCAAGTGTTGGTCTCCCTCCTTGTCAATGTCACCCAATTTGTAGTGCCAACCAGCCTCTTGAACCCCATGTCGGCGATGCACTACTGCGTACTCTGCTTGTAGATGTATGCCATGGATAGTAATCACTTTGATATGATTTGAATACGATATGCATCTGTTTGGCTTGGCTTGCCCGGTACCTGACAGGTTTGACACCATCACCACTAACAGAACATAGTTGGATTCCGATTCGGTACCGTAGGGTATTGCGTAGTGTGTGGTTCATTATTTGGGGGATTGTTGGGAGAATGATACCTTATCCCGAGTCCGACCGACGGTCCCGATTTCTGAACATCTTGATCATGAAGAAACCCGACATTTTTTTCGATGACAATACCGACCGACCGGAAACTTTCCCGCGGTGTGGGATGGTAGATGTGTGGTTGACCTTGCAGATCTGACAAACTGCTTGCTTTGTTCACAGTGCTCAGTTGTCACTCGCTCGAGAGTTTCTGGGCTGTCAAGCTGTCTGTCTGGTCTGCAAGATATCGGTCCTGGAGTGAAACTGAGACTGAGACTGAATCTGAGACTCTGTAAGAACTAAGAAAGAGAGATGTATCGGTGCACGAACCATGAGGTTCAAAAGATGACGACCCCTTTACCAATAAAGTCTTGGTTGATGGCGTAAGTATACCTAGTACACTACAACAACTCGAATGGCAAAGTCCCTCCCATGATGACGAGATAATCGCCGACTAAGGGAGTATCGTTTCAGGTCTGCTGTTGGTTGGTTCAGGTTGGTTGGCTGGTTTGGCCGGTTTGGGGGTGACACGGTGAGTGACGGAAGGTTGTCGTCGTCCAATGCTTCTTGTCCCATCGGAGCACGAAGTAAGGGAAAAGAGGTAAGATACGAGCTGCGACGTAACCTATTGGTTTGTTCTGTGCTAGGTCATAGCTGATGTGTGTGAATCGTGAACTGTTAACTGGTAAGAAAGTACACAAGGGGGGTGGCATGGCAGAAGACAGTCCGATAGAAGTCGCAGTCCGACCGACATCGGGATGGATATTTGATAGTGGCGAAAGTCTTCGGTGTTGTTTGTGACTTGGCGGTTGGTTCTTGGCCGTGTCCGCTACTTTTCCTCCCAAAGGGATCTTGTCCAGACTCAGCCAGACAAATGATCGCGGGGGATCCTGTATTTCTGCCTGGGAAAACAAAAGCGTGGATGAGGTTTATTATTCGGTTGGAGATGACAGAAATAGAAAAGAGGTTAGCAACTCGGGAGAAAAAGAAAACAACGATTGGCAACCAAGGCCTGAAACATCAAGACGTCAAATGTTGGCCATTGGAGAGTATGACTTTTTCACTTCTCGCCTAAAATGCCCTGGCTCGCCTGGCATATAGTGCATGGGCCACTGCATAATGAAAGGTCGCATGTGAGGCCGCTTTGGCCGTTGAGGATGGTCGACGGTTGGTGTGGAGATGAGGTTGTGGTTGGCTTCCCCCCAAAGGAGCCATGTTGGTTCTGAATTTCCAGCGGCTGGTGAGTCCCCTCTCTCTTGCTGCTTGCATGATGTCCCCCGACCGGCCGGGTGAGCACGGGAAGAAGGAGCACTTTGCAGGACAGGTTAACCCTTCCTCTTTCTGCTCCAGATATCCCACCACCCCGCCTTGTAATAAAAATGTGTGTGTACCTGACGAACAATGAATGGGCATCAACACCCGGTAATTTCTATCATGTGCTTCTTCGATAGTGTTGCAAGTTGAACCTGATGGTGTCTCTGTACGTCAATCGAGGGTCAATAAACCCATGCAGCCGACTTGTGCAGCATTGACACTTAAAGCGAGCCGAGGTGGGGAGCTGATGCGCAACTAAGCCCTGATATGGACTTGGTTCAGGCCAATTACAGGAGAGCCTCCACTGAAGCAGAAGCAATCGTGATCATTGAACTCTCTTTAAAACTCCATCGCGAATACGTACACCGTTGATGGTTTCATATGAAAAGAGAAAAAAGCACAGTATGTTCCGAGACATAGACGGGCTGTCATGCGGCGTCTCTTGCAGCAAGACATGTCGCTAAGGTTGGCCATGTCCACGGTACGGACCGTACAAGTATCCGTCATCCAGATTGCAGTCACCAGTCACCACTCCTCCGTTTCTCAGTCGTCAACTGCATGCGCGCCCATCCATCCAAAGAACGTCCTGCCTGTCCGTTCGGTTCCACTTCACAGTTCTTTTGGCCTGGGCTGTCGTGTATCCCCAGAGTTGGGCTGGACGCCACCGTTGAGTTGACCACGGATGGCCCATGGCCGTCGCTCCGGCAGGTCCCCGGCGATTACTGAACAACACATCATGAGGTAGAGAGGTAGACGGTCGGAGGCTTTGCGGAAGTACAATCACCGGTGATGGCATGGAAGCTGGATAAAGAGGAGACATGATGGACTCGTTGGACAATCTGGATTTCCGGACTTTCATTTGCCATTTTCTTGCTCTCTCTCTCTCTCTTCCATCTTTAGATATCGAACCATCCCCATCTCCTTCTCAGGTCTGGACTCTACACAAACGGGCTGAGCTCTCATACCCGACGGTATTGTTCGAGTCACCAAAAGATCTCCGTCCTGTCGACGTCTCGTGATATCCTTTTACGAAGGCAGTGGCCGGGATCCTCGACATCGACCCCGGCTGGTTTGGTGCTTTGATCGGGGACACCTGGGACCCAGCAACGCGCACACACACGAGGCTCGGCCCTGTAACCGGTGGGTTGGTTCGTACCTTGCCTGCCCCGGTAGCTTGAACTCATCTAGGCCTCTTTGGCTCTGAAGCCATCCCGGACTAGACTCCACCGGGCACCACACTGGGCACCACCAGGGCCACCACAAGCGACGGACGAGACCCTCACGACCCTTCCGACCTTTCAGGCTTCTCGCCTTTCTGTTGGGACCATCCAACGCTTAATTATTCGCTTGCGCCCAGCTGGAAAACAAGGGTTCAACTTCTCAAGCTCAATCCATTCCCGCCCTTCCCCGCCGCTTTGGCCCCCAATCCATTCTCAAAAAAGTATACCTCCCAGGCTGTACTTTAACCCCCCCTAACGCCCGGCGGCGCTTGTTGCTTCATTTTCTACAGTTTCCTGCTGTTGGGTCGTTGGGACTACTACTAGCGAGCGGACGACGCGCGAAGAGAAAACAACCTTGTGAAGAAGAGGGGGGCCAGCCGGAACACCAATCCAGTCGAGTGGAAAACAGCCCTGCGAAATTAGGAGGCCCAAAATTTTCCTTAAGCGGTCCAGAATCCCCCGACTCGGAACGATTCCCTCGTTGGCGACTGTTCTCCGTTACGTACCGATACCGATACCCTTTCCCAGAGGAGCGAACCAGAACGAGAAACGGACTCGAGACTTTTTCCGCCTACTTTTTTGCTTTCACAAAATCGCCGATTGCTGCTTAGGTAGAGAAACTCACCTTTCACCGAAAAGGCGCCCAGCCCCGTCCATTCAGTCCAGTCCTTCTTGATTCACACCTATATCCGCACCGGGTCCCGATTGTCACAAAAAAGCCAACATCAAAAGTCGCCCTTACTGCATGCTGCGACGGCCGAGCTGGAATATCGTTGTATCCGCCAATTCGGCGTCCCGCGAACAGCTGGAGCTGTTTGGAAGCTTGTTGGAGCATTTGCGCTGCTTGCTTGGGCTTTGACCTCTTAGGTCTTTTTTTTTCTGGTTGTCTAAGCTGCAAAAAGTTGGAGATCCCGCTGAGCCAATTCCATCCCAAACACTGAAGGACAACAAAAAAAAAAAAAAACCGGCGCGCAGCAAAAGGGGGGCAGCACAAGCATATCGAAACTCGACGACAACCATTACCCCCGACAAACGCAATTCGCATCTTCGAAACGGGCAAAAGTTGAGACGGATCAGGACGCGTCCATTTGGCTTTTACATTCACCTGTTCTTATAAGCCCTGTGCCAGCTGTCTGTCTGTCTTGTCTGTGGTGGAACTGCTCCAGTCCTGTTGACAATGACGCGCACTTACGGATACCAGCCTTGGTGAGCAGCCGCCCTTATCTCTTATTGCATCAATTGTTTACTGGGCCTCCTCCCCATTCATCCGTCTTCATCCAGACGGCCCTTCTTCCTATCCCCTTTCCTAGATCACACAACATCTCACTGGAGCCACTGCAGTGCTCATCATCAGACGTGCTGTTAATCCCTCTGATCTCTTTGCTCTAATGCTGATTTATCTTATAGCCGCGAATTTCATATTGTTGTCCTAGGCACCGGTATGTTGTGCTCTTATCAGTCCCCCACCTCTCTCTCTCTATCAGTCACTATGAACCTCCCGTTCTTCGTGGAAAGAAAAACAAAACACGAAAACTCCCTACTACTACCGTGCCAAGACATGCGGCATCACATGCTACAACTGCTGACTTTGAATGGGCTTACTTAAGGTGGCGTCGGCAAGAGTTGCCTAACTGGTATGTTGCATTCCCCCTATTTAACTACTACCTGCACGAACGACAAACCCCTGTCACCTCTCGGGGTGGACAAAACTCGAAGACTGGGGGCCTCATGATGCTGACGATGATATGAACAACAACAGCACAATTCGTACACAATGAGTGGATTGAAAGTTATGATCCAACCATCGAGGACTCGTATAGGACACAGGTTTCTGTCGATGTAAGTCTTAACTTGTCCATGTTGGATCGATGTTGTATATGTATTATGTTTCAGATTGGCTAACAGAAGACTTGCTCATATACAGGGACGACAAGTGATACTGGAAATGTGAGACAAACCAACCTGCTCTTCACTCACTCACCCATGAGCACTTCTTCATCTGTTTTATTGGGGGTCACCATTGAGATTCTAACATGTCGTTTTCATTCAAAATCAGCCTCGACACCGCCGGTACGGAACAATTCGGTGAGTACCTACCTACTAGCAAACCACCACCCCCCCCCCTTCTTCTCAACCTTAGGACTCACCTCGCTAACAATTTCGGGCAGTTGCCATGCGAGACCTATACATGAAAGCCGGGCAAGGCTTCCTGCTAGTCTTCAGCATCACCTCGCAAGCCTCGCTAGACGAGCTCAGCACGCTCCGCGAGGAGATCATCCGCATCAAAGACGACGAGAAGATTCCCATCGTCATGGTCGGCAACAAGGCCGACCTGCTGGACCAGCGAGCCGTCGATCGCAAAGAGGCGTTTGCTATCTCGCAGCAGTGGAATGCGCCGTATTATGAGGCTAGTGCTAGGACGAGGAGTATGTTTTTTTTTTCTCTTTCATTTCCTCTTTCCCCCATAACAAAATGATCCAGAGAAGGTACTGACGGCCAAAACAGCAAACGTAGACGAAGTCTTCGTCGACCTCTGCCGGCAAATGCTCCGAAGAGACGATAGCGGCCACAACGACGACGACTACGACGGCACACGCAACGGTGGCCTTGTAAGTGGTCCTGGTGGGTATTACGGCCAAAAGCAAGAGGCAGGAGATGGTGGTGCTCATGGGTCCATGATGAAGAAGAAGCGCAGGAGAAAGAGGAAGGGCGATCATAAGTGCATAATCATGTGAAGCTGAGCATGCATAGTGTGGACTTTGATTTCTATACCGGGTTGAGTGAGAAGCATTAATAAGCGTGGTCTCTAGACGGACTGAGGGACACATTTTTTTTTGGATACGATTTTTTGTGAAGCTGGCGGGGATGATGGATCTGTTGAGTATTGTGAGGCTTCTCACGGTAGTTCCAGCTGGGAGACCGACTGACGACTCGAGATGAGTGGAGGGAGAGAAAGATGGACACTTCAGTTGGAAATGCGAGGTTGAGAAGATCGGGCTCGAGGACGGGACCGATGGGATGGAAAGAGCTCCCGTCATCTTAGACCGATGTTGTGTTCTGGGAAGGCACGATGAGAAACTCAAAGACAACCAAGAGGGGAAGAGAGGAAGAGCGGAAGAGGGGAAGAGCGGAACATGCCGAAGAGATTTGGAAGGCGCAGTGGGTGGGCGCCGTGGGCTCCTGAATTTTCAGGTCTCTCACAAATCCAAAATCCCCCCTCGTAGGTCTCTCTGACTGAGATGCCGATGGAAAGCCGATCGCATCCATCACTCCCGCCGTGTTAGGTTAAGTTGCTTTCTGTCCCTTGACTTGACCTATGTTTTCAGCTTCATCTCAGATTCATTCTGGTCGTTGTCATAACACAACCCTTCCAAGTTGTGTTCTATTTCTACCTGTTGGTCATAAAGCAGGCGGTTTACAAAAGCTCCTCGTTTATTTCCCCTTCTTTTTTTAGGAAGTCCAGCCAGATGACGCCCCTGTGCCCCCCGGCGAAGCTCGAAGCTTTCATTTGTGACGCGCACACTTTGTGTGTGCCAGTGTAGGGAAGTCCAAACTCGTGCTGTCAATAATAATAATAGCCCTGAATTCCAACATCGAAAGCGGTTTGTTTATGTTCCTCCTCTCATATATATCCGACTTCATTTCTTCCGTGTGTTCTCATCTAGCCCTAGTCATCTATCGCACCGTCCCCTTCACGCTTCACGCCCTGCCTACCGCCGCGTTCTCCCCATCTACCATGGTAGGCGTACTCGCACCTGTATCCTCCTCACTCTCATTTTGCTTTTGCTCCTGTGCCTCAGCCATCATTATCATCCCATTGTTCAAATCCTGATCTTGCTGCTGTCCAGCAGCAGCAGCAGCAGCAGCAGCAGCATTCTCCTCCTGCTTCTCCAAATCCCTCTGCTCACTTTCAACCTCACCCTCCTCCTCCTTTTCCCCCGTCTTCTTCTCGCCCCTCACCCAAAACTTCCACCACCCAATACAATCCACCTCCCTCTCCTCCCACTTCCAATGCTCCCCCCGCGCCTTATACTCCCCCAGCACCTCGTCAAAAGTCTTGCCATCCTTCTTGAGCTGCTTTCTTATCTTCCTCGTCCTCGCCAGCCAAATCAGGTGCGACCCAAATATCCCGAGCTCGAGCAAGACGCAAATGATGTACAGCACGCCGCCGAGCACGTCGAACGTGTTTTGCGTCACCACAGCCATCAACGAGAAAAAGGCTCCGGAACAGTCCATGGCCAGGAAGATCCAGTTGATGCCCACCACCCGTCCGTGGCGCTTGTACATTTCTCGGTAGGGGGGCAGCAGGCCGGCGGCGAGCAGGATGGCGGCTATGATGCCGATGACGAAGATTGGGGTTTCGTTGCCGTCTCTGTAGAGGGGCTTTTTTGGGGGGAGGGGTTTGTTAGTCTTTGAAGTTGAAAAAGGGAGGGCAATAAGGACGGAAAACTTACCCGCAGTGTCAAAATCAGTGCAGCTTCAGCGCCAGCGAATACACAAGCGATGGTCAATGCTAGCAGACTAGCTTTCCAGACTGGCCATTTTCTTTTTTTCCCCTTTATTAGCAATCTGTACCTTATCTTATTCACCAACTCACACCAACCTCAACTCAACCCCAACTCCGCTGGGGGAAAAGGAAGTGAAATAAAGGAAAGAACACTTACGATCCATAAATCAATATCTGCGCCCAACCAACCAAACAAAGCGCCATAAACACCTGCGGCTGCACCTGGATCGGGATATTAAAGTTCTGCGCTATCGCGTACACCCCAAACGGCACGCCGCACAGCGCCCAGAGGAACATCATGGTCCCCGGTAGCCCCGTCGTCTGTTTTCTGCGCCAGTTGGTCCATATTTGTGGTATCAGTTGGACGCACCAGAGGCTGTTTGTTTCAGTTAGTTAGTTACGGTTTAGGCCTGAAGACAAGGAGAAAAGATGAGAGGAAGGAGTTGGTTGCTTACACAGTTCCTATCGTCCCGAGGACATTGGCGGCCTATGATTGTGATCTTTCGTTAGTGTTACTTGTTATGAATGATTAGGGTTGTACGACATCATTGTCGAAGCCGTGGGTCGTGGTTCAGATGTTATAATGATTGAAATTGGGGTAGCAGGTAACACAAGCTTCTCTGCCAAACAGTGCGGGAACGGGATGGATGACGTACAACGGGGATTTCTGTCTGAGGTGCCATGGACGTCTGTGTCTGTGTCTCGAGTTTGAGTAACCTCTTTTATTATCGCTCTTTCTTTCGTCCGCGTAGCCAGGTGCTGGTTGATGATGATAATGTTCAAGGTAGTAGTACCGTATATATTCGTTCGACCATTACCATGTATCCCGAGGTTGCTTGCTTGGCCTGAAACTTCTGTTCACGATAAAGACTAGTAGAGGTAGTGATTTGATGATTACAAAGTAAACATTAAACTTGCAGAGATGAATGAATGGTGTGCTCGTCTATCAACACTTTTATGCATCGATGGCGATTTGCATGGATGATGCAAAGAGATATAAGAAAAATGTTCAGTTGGAATGCCGACTCTGGACTGAGAAAAAATATGTTCATGTCCGCATCAGATTCCCTCCCAAGTTGAGTTAAGCGGCGAATCTTCCAGCCATGCACACGCACCAACCCATATGTGTTGGACTCTTGCTTTGTCTGTCAAAGCGGCTGCCAATTCTAGGTAGTTAGAGAACTGGGGAAAAGGCACGGAGAGCACTGACGATAGGCAAGGAAGACAGATCGGGGACAGATCCAGAAAATCGGGTACTTCATGGCTTGAGATGGCGAAATATCAAAGATATCTAGAAAGTCCATGTCTCGCGAGCATCGATTTCGTCAAGTCTAACTGTGATGTTGACTATATGGCGTTTCTACTTTGATGACAGTGCAAAACTCGTTTCAAGTAGCGAAAATCAGCCAAGATGTTCTTTGCAGCGACAAGCCGGCAGACGAAGCCGCTATAAAAGTCTCGGCACTGTGACGGACTGTGCGTACTTGCGCTAAAATGATCGCCGTGACTCCGCTGAAAGCTTAATATCACGGTGTAAAATCATTGGAAAAACAAGTTGCACACTGTCTTTCTCCAGAAATTTTCATGCGGCCGGCACGGCAGCTTCAGGAACCTTCATTCGAGATCTTTCAATCGATAACGAAGACCTCAAGTCACTTTCATCCAAACGACGAAATACTCACACCACGATCCAGATCTTCACCAAAGCCATCAATCGTTACTGATAGAATAACATTGGGCTCCTTGATTGGCTACCACCAGCACTTGCATCACCACCATCAGCACCCACCTACCTGCCTGCCGTTCAGTCAGTGCCTACCTTGTGACGAAGCACACCTTTCTCGAGCAACAGAAAGCGGACAAAAAAAGCAGCCATGGCCACCGAGATGATCAACAGGAAAAGAAAGGCCGACGATGGCGAGGGCGGCGCCAAGAAGAAGAAGAGATCCAAGAAGGCGCGCGAGGACGAGGGTGATCTCGACGTCGAGGCAGGTCTGAACAGGGCGTTCGAGCGCATGGACGGTCAGCTCCTGGCGGATCACATTGCTCAGAAGGTGACGAGGTTCGGGACCGATCTCAGCTCCGTTGAGCTTTCGGACCTGTACATATCTGGTGAGTGCACCTCATGCAAGTCTTGAACAAGGGAAGGTATAAGGAAGGCCTGGGGAATTGACATGTGACTGATGATGCAAAACAGCAAACGCTATCAAGGACACCACTTCCTTCCAAAAGCCCAGGAACAAGGACAACCTGCCAGAGTTCCTGGAGGAGTTCTCGGAGAATCCTGCCAAGTTGGCTGAGGCGCCCAAGAAGAACGGGTCGCCGCACACCTTGGTCGTGGCGGGCGCGGGTCTGCGTGCTGCGGATTTGGTCAGGTATGTTTCATTTCTATTCGGTGTTGAGTTCTTGCCCATTAGTTTTTGAGACTTTGAGTTGCGCTGACCAGAAGAATGGCAGATCTTTGAGGAAGTTTGGAACAAAGAACAACTCGGTTGCCAAGTTGGTAAGTTGCCATGTCCATGGTCCCGTTGATGTGAAGGAAAGAAGAACGACCAGTAGCTGATAAGGATCGTTCGACAGTTCGCCAAGCACTTCAAGGTTGAGGAGCAGGTCTCCTTCCTCAAGAAGAGCCGACGGGAATTGCCGTCGGTACTCCCCAGCGTCTGATTGACCTAATCGAGAATGGTACGATATCTTTTGTCATTTGATCCATGCGCTTGCTCCGTTGTTTTGCTAACTCCTTCCAGAGTCGTTGTCTCTTGACAGCCTGAAGAGAATCGTTGTGGACGCTTCCCACATTGATCAGAAGAAGCGGGGCGTCGTTGACATGAGAGAGACGATGATGCCATTGATCAAGCTCCTGACGAGGAAGGAGCTCCAGGACCGCTACACGGCGGAGGAGAAGCATGTGGATTTGATCTTCTATTGAGCACAGGTATTCCTTCACTTTCTCTCTTAACGATACCTCTACCTACTTCTTGTAGCAAATGCACTTTCCAGACCACATACCCAAAGGACTGGTTCAAGAAACAGACCCCAAGTGACTCTGTTCCGTGTTCAACCTGGACCTTCTGCTGATTGCCCTTGTTCAGGGAAAGTGTACCATGCTCAACACCTCAACCCCCTCACCTGCTCCGTTCTGCTCCTTCCCTGATGTCGTTGCCCACCACGCCATGACACCATGGACATCATTGCTACTGTCACTCTGCACCTGTCGTTGCCCACCTCCCAGTTCACCATCATCCGGCTCCCAAGGCCATGAGACCAAATACTTATACCCGTCCTCCTCCCACTCTCAGGGTCTTCTCTTCTTCTCTTCTTCAGAACAGCACACTCTTTTCCCTCTCTTTTTGGATTAGGTATCCCAACTTCTTTCAATCATTCCTCTTCTTTTTTGGAGATCATACTTGAATTGCAGTCAGCTATCAGCTCTCAATCAACAACTATCGACTCCTTTTTTTGTGTTCTTCCTCTTCAAGATACCGCACACACAGACAGGGTCTCAGACAACACACCACCTTCACAACGACAAACGGCTTTTCGAGATCATCAGACCTCTCCGAAACAGCTCACAACGACTCCAGTCTTCACGATGAAGTCTTCCCTCTTGATGCTTACCCCCGCCACGGCGGCATTCGCTTCCGCTTTTCCCGACTGCAGTCAACCTTGCATTGCTCCCGCTCTCGATTCGTCCGGATGCCGCACACTTGCGTGCCTCTGTGAGAGGACTCACGAACTCCAGGTCAGTTTACCTTCCATGCTCTCCTTGTTTTGGTTTATTGTGACTCTGACTGACTTGGCCATCTCTCTCTCACAGACCATGTTCGAGTGCTTCATGGCCAACTGCAATGCCCAAGAGTACCATCCTGCCATCACCCGCATCTCCAACGACTGCATCAACTATGGCCCTCATGCTCAGTACCCGGTTCCGATGCGCTACATTTCTGGCTCTTCGAACGTTGCCTCTCCCTCTGCCGTTGACCGCATGCCCTACTCACTCAACCCAACTTTGCACCTCTTCACCACCAATCCCACCTCAATCAAGGATGATTGCCCTGACGGTAGCGGAAATGGCAACGGCAACGGTAACGGTGGTGCCGGTCTTGGTGCCGGTGGTCTGCCTCCCGGTTTCCCCTTTGGTCCTGCAGGAAGTGGCGCTGGCGCTTACGGCAATGGAGCTGGCAATGGCGGAAGTGGTGGCAACGGCAACGGCGGCAATGGTGCTGGCTCTGGTCTTGGAGGCTTGGGTGCCGGAGCTGGAACTTATGGCAACGGTGCTGGCAATGGAGCTGGCAACGGTCTTGGAGGCAATGGCAACGGCGGTTTCGGCAATGGTGCTGGCGGCCTGGGTGATGGTTCTGGTGCTTATGGCAATGGCGCAGGAGCTGGCAACGGTGCTGGCAATGGTGCTGACAATGGAGCTGGCAACGGTCTTGGAGGCAATGGAGGCAATAGCAATGGAAATGGAAATGGTGCTGGTAATGGCAGCCTGGGCAATGGTGCTGGCAACGGTCTCGGAAATGGCAATGGCGGTGCGGGCAACGGTAACGGAGGCATGGGAGACTGCAGTGGCATGGGCGGAGGTGCCGGAAGTGCCGGAAGTGCCGGAGGTCCTGATGGCGGTGCTGGAGGTCTGGGCAACGGCGCTGGCGGTCCCGGTAATGGTGCTGGCG